CCCCCTAGAAGTGGCACTAACAGCTGGGGCGAGGCTTGGGTAACACAGTCCTTGGTGGCTGGTCCCCAGGATGTCTCTTCACCAGGGTCATAGAGCTGCCCAATCAGCTTAGTGAGGTGGCCACAGGGACAGATGCAAGTGGAACTCCTCATTCCACACTACCCTCCTGCTTCATTTTCTTTCTTCTGATCTGTCTGACATCGAGGCCCTAATCCAGATGTCGATGCCAACTACATCAGGCCAGCTCGCTCCCATCTTCCCCACACACATCTTCCATCCTTTACTGCGGTATGATTTCTTTGGAGGTGCAGCTTCTACCCAATTCTTTCAACAGTCCTTTCTCAGTGATCAATCTGCATGCAGTGTGGATGTCTAAGTCACTCTGTGTCTTACCTTCAAATTCCTCCTACAATATTTGTCTCACATTCAGCAACTTGAACCTCTCTCCTGAGGGGGCAAGAGTTACTGGAGCCAAAAAAGAGCACAAAGGAGAAGTGCAATTAAACCTTGGAGAGTTGGGGTAACCTGGGCAGTGCACTAACCTCAGAGAGAGGATCAAACCATCCACAGCTGCTCTTCCGCCTCTTGGACCATTTCTAATAAAACAGGCTTCAGTCACTCTGTCAAATCCAGGTGATAACTTTTTGCTCACAGGACCAAGACAAAGGGGATTGAGACATTTACTTAGGTCCTATAAACAAGTGCTTTTGGGAGCTGACCAGAAACTTAAAGAAAAGTTAGAAGAATTGGGAAATGGCCAGCATTCTTTGCATTCATTTCAACTCTTTAGGAGCTAAGTTGGCAGCAACAATCAGTAGATGCCAATTCTCTACCTGTTATGTTCTTGTTACTGTCTGTTGTCAGGCCATCCCCCTAATCTTTAAGAATTCCACAGGGGTCCCCAATAAGGTGTGATCTGAAACACACCTCATGTATTTTACTCAGGAGAACCACTACTTCCTCTTCAAAGCAGCAAAGGACAACTACAGAGACCCACCATTTGAGGGAGGTGAGGGAGTGAATCTCCAACAGTAAGCCACACAGCACTAAGGAGCAAATCTGGGCCTTCTGTATGCAAAGTATGTTCTCCCGGTGCCTTGAGTTATCTTCCTGGCCTAAACATGGATTTTTTGTTTTTGCTTGTTTTGGTAATTTGGAAGGTGTTAAAGGTGTTTCCTGATTTCCTTCAAGAGCCCTCACTGGATGACTCTATTATTTTTGGTTAGAATTAACTTCAGATATTGCTTCTAGATAATATAAAATTGCACAAACAGATCAATTTCCTCAGGATTTAAACTAATTATGTAATATAAATAAGAGTAATAGAATAATGCGGACCTGGGTCTAAACCAGGCCCAGTGAATAAAATAGGGAAAGGTTAACCGAGCAGAAGTTTTTTACCTGTTAGGTCATCCAAACAGTATTAATATTCCCTGTGATAAGAACACTGAACATGAGCTCTACCCTACTAACGAATTTTTAAGGGCACAATACAGTATTGTTAACTATAGCTGAAATGTGGCATAACAGATCTCTAGAACTTACTCCTCTTGTTTAACTGAAAGCTTATACCTGTTGAATGGCAATTTCCCACTTGCTCCCCTTTCCAGCCCGATAACCATTATTTCTCTCCGTGTCTAAGAGTTCAACCATCCTGGGTACCTAATAAATGCAATTATGCATTTCTATGCCATGACGGGTTTATTTCAGTTTGTACAATGAATTGATAATTTTTCAAACATCTAACTGAAATCTTTATGAAATTAACTAGCTAATAATATATTATGTTTGATATTTTTCTACTATATTACCCAAGTACTGTATGGATTCAGTCCTTCTAAGCTACAGAATACTACCCTGAAAAGACTTTCAACAGAGACAGTATGGCTGGGACCTGGGTGAGTTTTAAGACATTAATACAATTAGAGATCATTTCTGCATCATCAACAGTTCCCTTCCATTATGTAGATTCCACCAATTTGAAATAATCACAAAAATCAATACTGAAAACACTCATAGCAAAGTCATTTCCTAACAGGCCCTGCACAAGCTTATTTTCCATCTGTCAAGAAGATTGAACAGTCTCCAATGTATCACTAGGGTTGTAACATGAAAATCATGTGGAAAAATCCAGGAGTATGTCTTAAATAAAAGAATAGGGCTTAATCAAAGGTCTCTCAGTAGCTCTAGTAGTAAGTTAAATGCCAGAGAAGCTATCTAGTAATATCAGGTTTGCCAAATAGCCTATCAATTAGCACACTGAAAAAGAAAGTTTATACATCACTTGGTGATCAGGAAAAACCAAAAGGTGAGCAGCAGAGAAGAATTTAGGATTAATAATAATAATAACTTTAATACATAGTGTTTAGGATAAAAAATAGAAACCTTGAAGCCTTTAATGTTACCTAACTTTAAAATGACATAAAACAAAACCTCTTCTATGTCCAACTTCTATTTCAGACTCTCAGAAAGAAATAGCAATCATAAAACAGGATCATAAATTTTTAAACAGAAAATTCATTAGTCTACTGGAAGAGGGGGGGGGAGAGAGAGAGAGAGAGAGAGAGAGAGAGAGAGAACAGTAGGTAAGGCATTTGTCTTGCAGGCAGCCAACAAGAGTTTGTTCCCAGGACCACATATGGTCCCCCAGGACTACAAAACACAGGGCCCCCAAGCACCAGCACAAGTGATTCCTAAACACAGAGTTAAGTGTAAGCCCTGAACAGAGCTGGGTTGGCCGCAAGACACCAGAAGAAGAAAGAGAAAATTCATTAGTCTGAATTTTGAGTGCTAATTTTTGCACATTAAAAAAAATCTTAAGTATCAGAGTTTTCATATGGTTCAAGCAAAAAAAAGGGGGGGCAGGGCTTAATGTTAATTTTAATGCTAAAGATAAAATCTAAAGACACAGGAGTATTTTATGGCTACAAATAAAGTTTTGTGTCTGTGAAAGAATATTAATCAAGCTGAAAAAAGATTTGATATTCTCTATTATATGCTGCCTCAAGTCACACAAACTGACCAGTGCATATGCTCTTAATAATCATAAAAATAATTTTATGCACAACTATTCCTTTATATGTTTTGTCTGACACATGCCATCTATAGCTAATAAAATTCTATTCCCAATTAATTTCTCCCTGGATCCCTGGACTTTGTTATTAATAGCAAAACTTGAAGCACACAGTCTTCTGTGCCCGCACACCCACTTCTCAGTATATTCCGCACCCACTTTCTCCTACTCACTCCAGCCCTTCTCTATTGCTCTACTTTCTTCTAACCTTGGCGCACTGACAATCCCATCTGTCCAAGCCAGGTCCCCCCCACCTCTTTCCTTTAATACACCGGTGAACTCATTTTTCCTGCATAGAAAGTGACCATTCCTTTTTGCTGTTGCTGTTTTTGGGTCACACCCAGTGGTGCTCCGGGGATCATGCAGGGCAGGGGATGGAACCTGGCCGTCCTGCGGCGAGAGCATGTGCTCAGATGGTCCAGCTACCTCTTTGGCCCAGAGAGCATGTGCTCAGATGGTCCAGCTACCTCTCTTGAGAGCCTTAATCCTCCGCTTCCCCTCCCCCACAGCCCCCACACAAACTCTGTGGCGCTGTTTGTTTTTTTGCCAATGCCCAGGTGGTGCTGGGTGAGAGCAGAAAGCTCCCTGCTCTCTCTGCTCAGGGGATCAGGCTGGGCCCAGGGGGACATACAGCGCCAGGCACACACATGCACACTAACCCTCTGAGCTGTTTAAGCCAGGGTTCCCAGCCTTAACTAAAAAACAAAAAACAAAACAAAACAAAACAAAAAAACCCTCAAGCTACATTTTGTCATACAACTCTCTATTTCTGCCCATCTCGATCTTGGTAACTTTCTCAAAAACCAATTTCCCCTAGAAGTCATAAGTAACCAATGTGGGTTCATAAATTAGGATAAAGAGACAGGAGAAAAAAAATAAAATACAATAAAGGGGAAAAAAAAAAAGAGACAGGAGAGTTACATATACCTCAATTTAGTTATCAGAGCAAAGGGACTCTGAATGTTTCATGTGGATGGGCAAATTCTTTCTGCACACAAAGCACACTGCTTCAGTATCTCACCAGTACCTTTTTTCCTCCCTTTTATTGAAAATTAATTTGAAAAATTAAATTTTCAACTTTATCTCAGTTCTCTAAGGAAGGCTCTCTTTATAAAAGAAAGCATTAGTAATAAGGTATCAAAATCTGTTACCCCTACAACTGAACAAAGCATCAATCCTTTAAAGGCAAATATCTCTGTTTATCATTTGAATTAAAATACAAATACTGGTGCCAGAGCATAGTACAGCGGGTAGGGTGTTTATCTTGCACACGGTCAACCCGGGTTCGATCTCCGGCATCTCATATGATCCCCGGAGCACTGCCAGGAGTAATTCCTGAGTGTAGAGCCAGGAGTAATCCCTGTGCAATGCTGGGTATGACCCAAAAAGAAAAAAAAAAACCCACCAAATACTTTTAAAATAAATGTTGACTTTCACGATCGATCAAAGTACATGGATGTTGGGCTGGAGCGATAGCACAGTGGGTAGGGCATTTGCCTTGCACCCGGCAAACCTGGGTCCAATGCCCAGCATCCCATATGGTCCCCCAAGCACCACCAGGAGTAATTCCTGAGTGCAGAGCCAGGAGTAACCCCTGAGCATCGCTGTGTGTGACCCAAAAAGCAAAAAAAAAGTAGATAAGTATAAGTAAATCCCCTATTGGTGTTGGTGGAGTATTTTACACCAGGAAGGGGACTTCTACGCGCCTTCAAGCATTGCGTTACTTAATGGCATGATGACCGCGGGCTCCTTAAGCGTCCATCCTACTGGGCTTCATCATTTTCCACTTTTAATTTCTGCAAACTGGCGATCTTACTGGGCTCCGTCACCGACAGACTGACCATGTGACACTCCGCCCTTCCGAAGTCCCCACCACCCACCCACACCCACCCACACCCACACACACCACGCCCCGCCACCCACGTACCTTGAATTTGCTATTTCCACTTTGGTTCTGGCCATGGCAGCGGCCCGCTGCGCGCCCTCGATGGCTCTGTCCACTTTCTCCCGAGTCTTTGTGTTCCTGATGGGTATCAGCTGCTTCCGAATGCCGCGGACCAGAATATTATTTTTGTACTTCCCCTCTTCCTTGGAGCCGTCGGGGAACACGGTGCAGCCGTAGCCGTGCCGCTTGTTGTTGGCCCACTCGCCCTCGTACTTCATGCCGTTGGAGCGCTCGCTCACGCCGAAGCCCGTGCGCTTGTCGTTCTTCCACTCGCCCAGGTAGGTCTCCGTGGTGGTGGCGTCCACGTGGTCCTCCACGGGGCCGAAGTCGCAGTCGACGTCGCCGAAGCTGATGGTGGAGTTGGCGTCGCTGGAGCTGATGCGGCTCAGGGCCGCGTCGCTGCGCACCGAGCTGCGCTTGCTGGAGATGGACGACTTGGACTCGGACTTGCGCAGCTTCATGCTGCCCAGCAGCGAGCCCCGGCGGAACAGGCCGCCTTTCTTCTTGCCGGGCAGCTCGGCGTCCGCCTGGAAGTTGAGCACGAAGCCGCCGCGGGTGCCGGCCGGGCTGTCCGCGCTTGCGGCCGCCGCGTCGTGCAGCACGCTGCCGTTGCTCTGCTCGCTGCGCAGCGAGGCCAGCGATGTGCGCAGCGGCGAGCGGATCACCGTGGCCATGCCATAGGGCACGCTCTGGCGCACGCCGTAGCCGTGCCGCATGCCGCCGGCCCACTGGCCCTGGTAGGTACCTGGGGAGGAGAGGACGAGAGAGCAGAGTTGTGAGCAGCAGGTGCCCAGGCTGCGAGGGTCTTGCAGAATGCACCAGGCAGGCGTGCACTTGCACAGGGTGGAGCCTGGCATGCAGAGCAGGCGGTCCAAGGTCCCCCCACCCCCACCCCAACGTCCCGCTTGCAGATCCAAGTTTGAGGGTAACTTCTGGGTCCTTTTATGAATCCAGGCCCCTGCATACTGCCAGATGGGATCCTCCAATAATCAGCTGACTTTCACCTAAACGCTCATCTAAACAACACCGGGTGTTTAGATGAGTGACTATTTTCTAATGGCCATGAACACCAGGAAACAACCCTTCTCCCCCCAAATCAGCAATTCCAAAATCCCTTAGGATGGCAATGCCCCATTGAGTTTTTTTTTTCTTTTTTGGGGTCACACCCAGCGATGCACAGGGGTTACTCCTGGCTCTGCACTCAGCAATCACTCCTGGCAGTGCTCAGGGGACCGTATAGGATGCTGGGAATCAAACCGGGTCAGCCGTGTGCAAGGCAAACACCTTACCCGCTGTGCTATTGCCCCAGTCACCGCCCCCACCCCCCATTTAGGTTTGTCAGAGTGACATTCTAAAAAGCTCAGAGGCTTCAGATTTTTTAATATAAATCTGAAAGCACCCTTAATACATGGCTCTTCAAAAAAATGGTCTTAGAGTTTCTTTCCACCAGGTTCATCTATTGAGGGATAGGTTGAAACTAATATTTAGGATTATTATCTAGGCTTGAGTGAGGGCTTTTGAGTTCAAAGTTATTTGATAAATATATTATGCTGCTTAAGGTGAATCATTATGAAAAAAAATGAAAAAAATGGGCAATCTCTTTTACATTTTGTACTCATGAGTGAAAAGCTCAAAATTTGCTCCATGTGACTTGCTGTCTTTGTGTTTTGGTCACTCTGAGTGGATTTCCCAGGGTTCTGCCTCTACCCTCTGAATCATATTTATGAGCCAGAATGCACAGTGAGGGTGGAAATCACTTCCGGAAAGAACACAAAAGTTTCAAACTCATGGCTTGTGTCCTATGGTCTGTTTGATGACTGTATAGTACACAGCTCTGGTGGCTAAGGCTGACACTGTCCTTAGAAAGGCCAGAGGGAACCTATTCTTTTTAACAATCTGAAATTGATCTCACAGCAAAGCTGTGTTTGACTGTGTCCCTGAAAACTGATGTTGCCAGATTATTCTCTATGAGTATTATGTCCTTTCAAGAATATAATCATCTCAAATCTAAAGCACTGGGTGAAGATTTTCTACTCAACTAGCAGTGATGTTTTAAAAGCTGGTGCAGCTTTTTGAAAACAATCTTAGGAGCAACTGATGTTAAATGTTAAAATTCTAGGAGCTTAGAATTTAAAAAAAAAATCAAGGCCACTTCCTTTAAAGGTCAGTTTTAAATTATTGTATTCATCACAAGATGCTGCATGGAAATTTTCAGTAATGACTTCTATATTATTCACAGTGATTCACAATATTAAAAAATTAATTATTAGAGTATGTCTTGACCTCAAGCATTTTCTGATTATATTGGTCTCACAGGCAGTCACTTTTCATTTGGTAACCCCACACAGACTTCCATTTCATAGCACTTATTAACTTTTAAATAATCAGGCAATCATGTCAAGGGTTTTATATCATTTGTGACAACCTAGGCCACACTTAAAAGTTAAAACCACGAGGGCACTAAAAATAAAAGTCTGACTAACTTTGGCACTTCATTGTTCTTTCTATTCATTCTGATGTATATTTGCTTTATTTATATAAAGACAGTAGTAGGATGATGATGAAATGTGAAGTGGATCAGGTACTAAGAATGTCATGTTTCATATTCTAGATAGGGTCAGTCTTAAACTAACATCTGTGAACTTGTGAGGTGAACATACTATACTTTTTCTGAAAGGGATTGAGTTCACAGTTAAAACACTCCAGGTTAGGAAACTTTCTCCCCAAGACTGCCATCTCTAACCATCCCCCTCACAGCAGAGGAAATTGAGAACTAAGGTCATTTTAACATTACTTTTCCTTTGTCAGTGTAAAGAAAGTTTAAGCTCTAGAATAAAAAGTTATACAACCCAACTAAGAGGTGCTAAAACAAACCGTGTTAGAGTATTTTGTTTGTACATAACCATATCCTTTTAACTTTTCTAAATGACAAGTTAATTTTGTTAAGACAATTTCCGGAGGTGCTTTTTGTTATCAACTATTTAGACTTTTAAAATACAACCATAACATTTTAGTAAATATTCACTATAACTTAGAGAAAATTAAAAACTAGTTCTCTTAAGCTGTTACATCCAAAAGACTAGTATTTAGAATTTCCAAAACTATTGCTCAAAAAGCCAAGTGCTTTAATGCAACAGCAGTAATTAGAAAGTTTAGGTCTCAGTTTAATTCTCAGATAGGGAAAGGGAACCAAAAGTATTGGCCATGTTCAGTCCTGTTCTGTTAAATCATGTAATGTGGATAAATTCCTCCATTAAATTGCTAAAAATCACCTTGCAGTCAAACTGTTAGTAGTTCACCTGAAATTTAAAATAGGTTTAATTTATCAATGAACCTAAAAATAAGGGCCTCTGTTTCTTCATGAAGCAGGTGGATTCCAAATTTTCCCTGCTGCTCAAAGTTCTAATTAGTTCATCTCCATTCCTTAAATATGGATGCTTATACTCTTTTGCAAGAGTAAAAATTATTTGATGGGCTTTGTTTTAAATTATATTCTCTGCTTTTTCATCTGGGAGGTAATTTTCTAGACCTAGCCAATTTAACTATTCGAATTTGCAAAGGAAGGCATCCAGTTCAGAAAGAGTTTCAAATTTAGACCGTACTCAGCCACACTTAACACTTACATGCTACGAATGGATCTACACAAGTATGTATTTGACAAAACAATGTCTTCCTGCTTATTTTCAATTGTGTGACAGATTGAAAAACAAAACAGAAGAATAGCAGATCATAATTTTGCACAAAAATTCTGAGCAGCCTATCTTGGGTTTCATGAATTTATAGTAATTATTTTAATGTTCAGGGGGTTCTATTTTAGCAACACTTGCACATACAAATCACTACATAGATAAAGTGATATATAGATCAGTAGAATTTCCCTTTCTTCCTCTAGTTTAATTTCAACAAAAATATATGCAATCATATTTCCCTCAATCTGACAGAGAATGTATAGGTGGAAATATGCTGTAGGTAAGGCAAAAAAGAAGCTCACATTTTAAGTGATATCAGGAGAGTGATATTTCCTATTTTGGCCAAGAGCTTTGGATAAGTCATACACTGCTCTTCACTTAACCTCCCACTTTATGATTAAGGGCCTTGTAATGAAATGTGGTGGAATATGAAAGAAAGCAGGGTATTAATTAGCACAGTTATAATAGTGAATTTTAAGAGTTTTCTTCCTCTTCCTAACTAGGATATTAGTTTTGATTTTTGTGTTGGGAGTTGTTATGTGGTCGTACCCAGCCATGCTCAGGGTTGTGTTCAGGGATCACACCTGGCAGTGCCCGGGGAAACTGCATGGAGAGCCTGGGATTGAAGCTGGGTGGTTTGCAAGCATGACAAGTACCTTACCCCCATACTATCTCATCATCCTGTTTGTGTTTGTTTTGTGTTTTGGTGAGAAACTCAAACTTTTGGTGAGAGTGATGCCATAGTTTTAAGGTTTTTTAAGAAATGACTATAAAAACAGAAGGATGATTCATAAAATCATCTGGGTTACTGAAGAATTCTAGAATACATACATAGACTAGAGATGATCTTTACTGTGATATATATACATATGTATATATACATTATATGATAATAATTACGAGGTATAGTGAATTAAATTTTTGGTCAAGAGATTTTATTGATACTAACTTTAAAAGAACTTATTTAATCTTCTGAAACAGAAGAGAACTATTTATGGCCTCCTAAAAAAAGTTATGAAATAATACACACACTCAAAAAAATTTTTACATTCCAATTTTAAGCATGGAGTTTAGTTAAATTGGAGAGTTGTGGCCTCCAATAAAATCCGATCACAAGCTAACATTTATAGAGCTGTCGGTCAAGGTACTCTACACCCATTCAGAACATTTAAGGGCTCTAATTAACTACTGTGGAACTCAGGATTCATGTCCTCATATAAAAGTCCCCCCTCCACCTTTTTTAATCCATGAGAACTATATTCTTTGTTTATACTGTAGGAGGAAAAGATGTCCTTTTTAGCAAATCCTACCATTCGGCTGTTTTGCATTTTAAACATGGCTCAAGTGTTCTGAGTAAGTGAAGTGTAAATTGTATAAGCTTTTATATAAGCATTGGCATAACTAGGGTTGCAGTGGGCTGGAGAAACTTTTAATTGGACTCATTTACTATCCTTTAACTCTGAGCTGCTTAATTCCCAAAGCTGACATCCTTCCTCCAATCCTTCTGAATTAAATGATTTTGTTTATTACATTTTGCCAAAGCATAAGCCATTCATTCTCATTTATCACTCAGGAAATTTCTCAGGTTTTGACAACTGTTTTGATAAAGCACAATTTTTCCATTTTTTTTAAAAAGGGGAACTCTGCCATATATATGTATATATATATGCAATATCATCTGCAAATATTGCTAAAGTAGTTTGCAAACATCGTGAGAAAGTTAACAGTGATTTTTGGTGAGCATACTGTTTTTAGATCATACACCTTGGTGCAAAAGCACTGCCCTTTTCAGGAAAAGAAAGTAGCTACTAATTTAACAACCATGCAAAGGTAACTTTCCACTTGCTTTTTCAGAGGTAGACTTGACTGTGCATTTCTAAACTATTTTCCTAGTGACTTCCCCAAAGGTGTCTGGGTCGACCAAAGACTAACCTCTTGACAGTATACCAATGCTTTAAGGAACCGAATGGAAGTTCGAAAACTCCCCATACCCTCCGCACCCCACATGCATCAGGTGGCACCTCCTTCCCTAACGTTTCCCAATGCACCCCAAGTAAGGAACAGCTGCCCCCACATCCCAGTTACGGGGTTCTGGCTTCTATCTTTAGGCTACGAGAGGCCCCGAAGCGAAATACGACTCCACGTGAAACCAATCCGGGGAGCGGTCAGCAAGCAACCCAGCGGGCCCCGCCAGCCTCACCCGGCTGGTCCTCTCGAAGGTGCCCCAGAGTGGCCATCGCAAACCAGGGGCCGGGGGAGCGGGAGGGCGCGGGGACGTAATGTGACGGGCTCAAGTGACAGCTCAGCCCGGCCCTGGCTCCGGCCAGGTACCTCCACGCCCCGCCGCCCCGGGCGCGCGCGCGGGGAGACGCACCATCCGCTCCCAGATGCTCGGGGGGCGGCGTCCCCGGGTGCGGGGGGATGGTGGCGGTGGCGGTGTCGCCCGGCCGTGGGAGGGGGTAAGGGGGGCGGGTTTCCCGACACGTGCGCCTCGCGTCCCCCCCACCGCGTCCCCGCCGCTCACCTCCGTCCCCGTAGGTCTCCACGCCGTACCCGTCCTGCAGCCCGTTACTCCAGGTGCCCTCGTAGCGCGCGGGGGTGCACAGGCTCTGGCGCACCCCGTAGCGCCCCTTGAAACCGTGCGACCACTCCCCCCGGTACATCCACTTGCCCTTCGTCTCCACCCCCAGCCCGTGCCGCTTGCCCTGCGCCCAGTAGCCCTGGTACGTGTTGCCGCTGGGCCAGGTGTAGCCGCCGACCACCTCGAAGCCGTGCGACCAGGAGCCCGAGTACTCGCCCTGGCCCTTGGGCCCCGTGCAGATGCCGTGCCCGTGCGCCTTGCCCTCCTCCCAGCCGCCGCAGTAGGTGCCGCCATCGTCGAAGTCGAACCTTCCGCCCGTCATTCGGGGGGCAGCCCCCGGCGCGCGCCCCGCGGGGACACGGACGCCGAGCCAGCCGGGCAGGGCAGGGCAGCGGGGAGCGCGGGGAGCGCGGGGAGCGCGGGAGCGGGGCCCCGGCGGGCGAGCTCTGGGCGGCCGCCGCTCGGCTCCGGTCCCACGCCGCCCCCGTGCTCCCCTCCTCGAGCGCCGCCGCCGCCTCCTCCTCCACCTCCTCCACCTCCTCCTCCACCTCCTCCTCCTCCACCTCCTCCTCCTCCTCCTCCACCTCCTCCTCCTCCTCGGTGGCCGCCGCCCCGGCCAGCGCCGCGCGCGAGAGGACAAGCCCCGGCTCCGGAGCGGACCTTCAGCGGCTCCCGCCCGCCCACGTGAGCCGGGCACCGCCCCGCGCCCGCCCCTTGTCCCCTCCCCGGGTGCCGAGGCCCGGCCCCTGCCGCTCGCGCCCCCCCACCCCACCCCACCCCTTCACCCCCCGGGCCTCCCCCGCCGCCTCGGGGCTCGGAGCGCCGCGGGCAGGCGGGGACCGTGGGCGGCGGGTGGGACCGTGGGCGGCGGGCGGGGCTGGGCGGGCGCGGCGGCCTGCAGGGGGGTGGGGGGACCGCTCGCGCGAGCGCCCGGCCGCTGCTGTTTGGCTTTGGGGAGGGCTGGGGGGGTATCCGTGTGGCTCAGCGGGTGGCCACGTGTGTGTGTGTGTGTGTGTGTGTGTGTGTGTGTGTGTGTGTGTGTGTGTGTGTGTGTGTGTCGAGGGAAAAACTCCCCGGCGCCCGCTCATCCGCACGGGGTTGGGAGTTGCATGTTTCCGGCATTCCAACTTGTGTGCGGTGGCATTTGTGGTGGCCAGCTGTCGCGGCGAATTGATCGCCCCCAGATAGAGCTGGGTGCCGGGGGATGGAAATCTCCGACAAGCCCAGATCTAATTTGTGCAGAAGGTGCAGCTACACCTACCCCTTTCTCAGCACAGGGATGGGCGTTTATTTCGTGAAGAGGCGCGGCGAGAGAGGAACGCTGTGCAGAAGAAAGTGATTTGGGGTTTGTAGTAATGACGGTGTTTTTTTTTTTTTTTAAATCAGTCTCTCTGCAAGGCTCTGGAATACTTCCTTTTGCATCAGAGCGTGGCTCCCCCTAATGCATTTGTTCTTCTAACACCATTTAAAATTCTTCAGTCTGGACCTGTGTACCCCACAGGCAGACGGTCAAGTCTATATTGTGTGAATGTCTGGAATGTACACCTGCTACCTCTCCACTGGTGCCCACAGTTTAAGAAAGTAAACAGAAGTTTTCAAGGAGGAGTACGGCGAGGAAAGCTTTGCTCTAAACTTACAAAGCTTCCGTGACCTACAAAACTTGGGGGATAAGTGTCAGCTGATCCACTTTCCAGCAACAACCCTGCTTTGTGAATTCACTTTAAACACGTCTTGGAAACTTTTATTATAGCATCTTCCAAGTGAGAATGACCAAGTTTGCCTTTCCCTTGAGTGAGTTAATAACCCGGAATGCCATCCCTGCTACCCTCCCCCCTTTCCCCCCTACCCTCCCACACACACACACCTTCAAAGCCAAGAATTAAGAGATTCGGTAATAGGCAAGATGACCTGGTCACTATCGCCTCTGATAAAAGCAGCAGAGGTCTCAACCTCACCTTCAAAACAGCCATGGGGGAGACTGCTCTGAGCCTTGGGGCCAGGATTCCAGGTTGACCACAAAGAACACCGTTTTATTTGTTTATTTATTTATTTACTTATTTTTTACTTTTTTAAAAAAAATTATTGAATCACCGTGAGATAGTTACAAGCTTTCATGTATGGGTTATAATCACACAATGATCAAACACCCATCCTTTCACCAGTGCACATTCCCCACCACCAATATCGCTGGTATACCCCCCCTTTCCCACCCTCCCCCTGCCTCCATGGCAGGCATGATTCCCCAAAATCTCTCTCTACTTTTGGGCATTATGGTTTGCAATACAGACCCTGAAAGGTTACCATGTTTGATCCTTTATCCACTTTCTGCACACATCTCCCATCCCGACTGATACCTCCAGCCATCATTTTCTTAGTGATCCCTTCTCTATTCCAGCTGCCTTCTCCCCTTTGCTCCTGAGGCAGGCTTCCAGCTATGGAGCAAACTATCTGTCCCATGTATCTACTATCCTTCGGTAGAACACCGTTTTAGCTCAGTATTCTTGGTACTTCTTCAGCTAAGAAGTTTTCAGATGACTGAGTGGGTACCTGAGGTTCTTTCACTAGGTTTTTGCTAATCAGTTAAAAATACAAGAACAGGTGTCAGGAAAAGAGGAAGCAGTGGGGAGTAGACTAAACAATACAGCCAAAGAATGGAAATGGACTTGGATTGGCTATATGAGCTTGGCACTGGCCCTTCCTGCTTACCTGGCTGAAATACTGAAAGAAAAGTCTCAGCTTACATACACAAAACCAAATCATCAAAGAGAATTAGAAAGCCACACGGTAGCACTGGCTGCAGAGTTACCAGGAATAGTGCTTAAACCTGGTGGCTGGGAATATTTGCACATCTTTGTTCAGCATCTTGTCCAGGATGGGAGATTGATTTAGGCCGCTGGGGAAAGAAGAGCCCAGGATTTTGCAGCTGAATTTTAATTCCATTTCTCCATTACGGGATACCGGGATCTAGGAACTAGCTCGGACAGACACATTCTTTCTATTTTCCGGTGCTGTTTGGTTTGAGACATAGTGCGTGGCAATGTGGGTACCAGTGTTCCTCTTTTTAAATTGGTTTTCTTCACAGAGTAGTCTTTGTGCCTTCTTTCTTTTGGCACAGGATGGGGTGGCATGGGGTGGGGCACCCACACGTACGTGTTAGGATCCATATATAAACATTTCATGGTCAAGGCTTTGCAAGCATGGTGGAAGCAGTTATTTTTACTTCTCTTACTTAGCTCTCATGGAAATCTGGGATTTTCCAGAATTAGAGCAGAGAGCAAGTAATTGGCTTCTGTAATGAATGTGTAGTTTAAGGTAAATGGTTAAAGGATGGTGGCGGGGAAGAGGAGGGGGAGAGAATATGGATATTTGGGAAGGAAAAAAGACATGGCTACTTATCTCTGAATCTTTCCTATTTGTTATTCCTAATAGATTTTTTTTCTTGGAAGGAGCCTCCATTATGAAACTCAATCTACTATTAACATTGATTCTAAGACCTAATTCCACAAACCTTAATTTTAAAACCAACTCTCTGTCTCCTCTCTCCATATGGATTTTCTTTGGGAGAAAATCTGTATGGAGTGCCTCACTGAAAAGAATATTTGGCAAAGTAACCATCCAAAACCCATCTTCATTGCCTGCTGCTGCCCTCCCCAGTGGCACTGAGGTGTTCGGTAAGTCAGAGTTCGGGTTCAATGGCAATGGTTAGTGGAAACTGGGAAAGAGCTAGAAAGAGAAGAGAAGCTAGCAGTGAGGGCATAGCAGACAGTGGGCAGTGGAATAACGTTCCACTGCAGTTTACCAGTCAGGGCTAGTAATGTCCTCATTTTCCCTCTCACTCTGAACCTTTGCCCTGGATAAGGTGGAGTTGAATTTAGCTTTAAGGAGGGATTAGTAAGAAGAGAACGTGAGTGTTGGTTTGACAGGTGGGATGGGGGAGGCCACGAATGCACAGGGCCAGCCACCACTCTGACAGCTTGTTCTCCTCCTCCCTGCCCTAACCCGAGCTATTATCAATTTCCGTTCTAAAAAGCTTTGTACCGAAAGGGTTTGAATTTTGAATCTGAATGTCTAGAAACAACCCGTGGGAAGGATTTTTTTTCCCTTCAAAATTAATCATGTATTTGCTAAACAATGTTATGATTAAGAAATAACTAGTGACTTGATTCAGATGTTAGATGTTGTTCGTAAGAATCTTGAGTAAAAGGAACAGGTAAGAGAAAGCGTGTGTGTAGGTGTTTCTTGTCTAAAAGGTGTGATCCAAAGTGTGTAAGAAGAAAGCACACATAATTTAAACTGACTTGATTGGATGTGTAAGTAAAAAATGAGTATTTTAACCTCTACTGCAAACCACACACCCAAAAGGAGAGAGAGAGCAAAAGGGAATGCCCTGACACAGAGGTGGGGTGGGTGGAGGGGGTGCGGTTGGGGTGGTGGGAGGGATGCTGGGGCCGTTGGTGGTGGAAAATGAGCACTGGTGGAGGGATGGGTACTCGACCAGTGTATGACTGAAATGCAAGCACGAAAGTTTCTAAGTCTGTAACTGTACCTCACAGTGATTCACTAATAAAAATTTCTAAAAAATGAGTATTTTAATAATGAATTTTGTAAGGAGTTCGTTCATAGAAAAGGCAAAAGTTAAGATATTCAGTCACATATTTTACAGATACCGTGATTTCAGAAGAGAAAGAGAACCCCAAATTTCATAATCTCCAAAACTTCGAGGACAGTCACTGTGTCAAATTCCGTGCTAAATTCCTTACATGGACACTTAAATCTCCTAACAGCTTATGTGATTATTGGTAGTATAACCATTTTGTAGAAGAAGAAAAGAAGGGTTAGGATATTAATATTTCTGAGATCAATTCAGACAGACGTCAGGCAGGTACTCAGGCCAGACCAGACTCCAGTGACAGGTTTCTTTATTAGTGTCCATTATTGGTACAAGCTGCAGGGACACAGCTTTCAAGGGAGCCGACAAAGCAGTCTGGGTGGAAATCAAAGGGTTAGAGCAGATGACTTATTTTATGTTTTAAAATAGCTACCAAGATGAGTAGTAGTGTTACTGTATAAAGAAATGGCAGAAGAGGAATAAATTATAGAGGTTGGGGGAAAAAATGGTTCACTTAGGAGAGAGTGGTTCAGAAATATATCCTGGTGGAGCTGTGCAGTAGGCAGTTGGATAATACCAGTAAGAACTAAACGTAAGTTGCAGAATGAACTCTCTCGTATGTGGAATGCAAAGAAACACAGGAGGGGCTGGAGCAATAGCACAGTGGGTAGAGCATTTGTCTTGCACACGTCTGATCCTCAGCATCCCACATGGTCCCCCAAGCACCGCCAGGAGTAATTCCTGAGTGCAGAGCCAGGAATAACCCCTGAGCATTACTGGATGTGACCTGAAAGGGGGA